CTTCAGGCGGCCGCCGGGTCCTCGCCGCCGCCAGGCCGCGCCGGGAGTGGGTTCAGGTGTTTTGCCAGCGACCTATGAGTGGCGCAGGGACATCCGAGGCAGAGGGACAGAAACGTCCCACGGCGGCCTCCGCGCCGTGCCGGCGGCTTCCCGGCTCGGTTGCTCGACTTCCCCGCCGGGGTCCTCGGTTGCCTGCATGGCTTCGCCCGGGGCGATCGCAGCGCGGTTTTGCAGCAAAGACCCGGGAGCCGCGAGGCCCAGGCCGCGGAGCCCCACCCAGAACTGGCGCCGCGCTCACGCCGTCGTCCCGGCTGCGCGCGAGGCTGAGATCCGAGGACTGAGCGTCACACCAGCGGGGCTTGCTCACCAGCAAAAATCCGGAAGCGGCGCTGTGGCTCAAGTGGTGCAGCACCAACCTGAGCAAAAACGCTCAAGGACGGCGCGCAGGCCCCGAGTTCAAGCCCCCGCCAAGCACCAAAACACTGCCCGGTGAAGCTGGGTGTTGCTCAGTGGCGAGAGCCTCAGCCTCGAAACAGGAAACGCAAATTAACCTAACGTAAATCAAAATTACGGGTGTGGCGGGCGTGCGGCTCCGTGGTAGAGCCCTTGGCTAGTGTGTGCAGGGCCTGAGGTCATTCCCAGCACCAGAGAATGGAAAAGCATGATAATACAAGCATGTTGGAGCCAGCCAGATGTGGTGGTGCATGCGTGCCTGTCATCCCCGGCACTGGGGAAGATTTAGGTCAGAGGTTGCCTGGGCAAAAGCTCCAGACGCTATCTGAAAAGCAAAGTGAAATGCAAAGGATCGGGGCGTGGCTCCAGCTGCCAGAGCAGCCCAGGCTCTCTCCCCATTACTACTCCCTACGGCACCCCCACTACTGCCCTGGCCAGCCATTATCCTCTTTAGCAAGAGAAGGACCAAGCTGGCACTTCAGGTGGAGACAAAGGGCCGGGTGTGAGATCAGCTGGGGTCCCCTCCCCACTCCAGGGCCGGGCCCAACACCTGCTCCACTGGCCGAGGGCTGCAGGACAGTGAATCCAAACTCCACCAGGCCTTCTCTCAGTCCAGCCTCCTCCCGCAGCCAGGCCAAAGGAATCTTCAGGCCAGGCTCACACATCGGTGGTCAGGTGGGGATAGTAGGGAGTTTGGGTCTCATTGGCCTCTGAGGCACCCTCGAGCTGTTGATAATGGACGGCTGCCTCCCCCGGACCCAGGTAAGCCCAGCAGATCACAGCAGAGTTTGCATGCTTTTTTTTTTGTGTGTGTGTAGCTAGGATTGCAGGCATAATTTGACACACCACTTCAACTATCTTTTCTATTTTGTTGGTCCTAGGGCTTGAACTCAGGGCCTAGGCACTGTCCCTGAGCTCATTTGCTCAAGGCTAATGCTCTATCACTTTGAGCCACAGCACCACTTCAAGTTTTGGGGTGGTTAATTGGAGATAAATGTCTCACAAACTTTCCAGCCCAAGCAGGCTTCAATTTGAAATCCTCAGCTCTCAGCCTTCTTAGTACCTACAATTACAAGCATGAGTCACCAGCGCCTGGCTAACAATCTTTTATTTTTACTTATTTTTTTGTCAGTGATGTCTGAACTCTGGGCCTGCGCACTGTCCCTCAGCTATTCAGCTCAAGGCTAATACTCTACCACTTGAGTCACAGTGCTACTTCCGGCTTTTTTCTTATGTGGTGCTGAGGAATCGAACCCAGGGCCTCTTGCATGTAAGGCAAGCGCTCTACCACTGAGTCACCTTCCCAGCCCCCCCACTCTTTTATTTTTGATGTTACCAGGGTTTAAACTCAGGATCTGGAACCTACAGGTGCTCTACCACTTGAGCTACACCTCCAGCCGGATTTCAACCACCATCTTTAGTCTTTGACTTTACTTTGCCTCACTTTACTGGAACTATTTTATGAACCCATTGTTCTGCCTATAAACTTGTTAGCATAACAATCATGTAAAAGGAATGCGATTATGCTATTAAATTATGCATCTTGACTCATTAAAATCTGCTGTAAATATTTTCATAGGGATAATGAAGAACCTGTGTATTTTTCTGTGTGTGTGTGTGTGTGTGTGTGTGTGCTACCACTGAGGTTTCAACTTAAGTCTCGTGCTGTTGCTTGGCTTTTTCATTCAAGGTTAGCCCTCTGCCACTTGAGCCACACCTCCACTTCAGATTTTGCTGGTTAATTGGAAATAAGAGTCTGTCAGGTTTGTCTGGTGGGGGCTAGCTTCAAAACCATGATCCTCAGATCTTCGCCTCCTGAGTAGAAGTTAGTATTACAGGTGTGAGCCACAGCATCCTTTCCCTTCCTTCTTACAAGGTTGGACTTGCCTTCCTTGGGTGGCTCACTCTGCACCCTCCCAGGCCTGGCTTTGTGTGACCTCTAGGGCTGGCCCAGTACCCACTGACTGTCCTTACACCACCAGCGTTGTAGAACTGAATGGAGAATACACTGAAGTTTGCAGATGAGGAAATTGAGGTAAGAGCTTAGCTCATTCCTCAGAGACTCTGGATGCCAAGGCGGGGAAGGGGCAGTAGTAGCAAATTCATTCAACAAATACTCCTCCCTGTCTGTCCCCTACCAGGTATTGTGCGGGGCGCTGGCTCATAAAATAGGAGGCAAAAGCAGTCCCTGTTCCTGGCCCTCCCAAGAGGGAGCTGGGGTCTCCCAGCAGGCTCTGCCGGCCACCAAAGGACGCCTACTTCACCCGAAGCCACGCCCACTACCACCCAGCGCCCAAGGCCACGCCTCCTCAGCATCCCTAAACTGGGGGTGGGCGAAGCTGGCTTTGAGCTGCAAGAGTTAGCTGGCCAACACAGGGGGGAGAAGGAGTGCAGTGGGCACAGCCAGTTCGGAGGGGACAGAAAAGGAGCCCCAGAGGGCCCTCAGAGCTGGATTTAGTTACTTACTTCCTGGGCTGACAAAGTTTCAGCCTCCCCGTCCAGGAGGGGACCACAGCATCCCAGAGGCCAGGGCGGCCAGCTCATTTGCATGCCGGGTGCCTATCAGGACGGTCGAGACCACGCCACGAGGAAGATAGACATCCATGGAGACCACGCCCCCCAGGATGACAGCCATCCGTCGAGACCACGCCCCCAGACGACAGACACATCGGGACCCCGCCCCCAGATGACAGCCGTCCTTCCAGACTACGTCCCCCAAGATGACAGGCGTCCATCGAGACCACGCCCCCAGA